GACAAGGCTTGAGCACCCCCAAGTTAAAAAGAGCATCCCCAATTTTGAAATAGTTCCTACATCCCTGCGCCTGAAATCAAACCATCATATATCGTGCGTGATCTCAATATGCTTTCGCCACTTATATTTTAGTAGTGCATTCTCCTAAGACCCAAAGCCCAAAGGCGCCTTGGTGACAAATCATGGCGCGTGCGCGATAAAGCAAGCATGGGATCCTAATTCTTTATACTTGACAAATTGGCCGGATGACGTTGCCCGAATTGCACCAATGACAATTTATTTTTACCAAAAGAGCCACTTGGTCAGTGCTCCGGTGCTCCTGATATCGATTAATATTCAATGACGTCATTTTTAATCTAAAATTGTAGACTAACAATATTTTTTTATATTCCTTCATTTTAATCTCCACGTTGAGCCAACATAAATGGTAAGTGACGGATGGGCTCTTTCTAGCTGGCAGCCAGTTGGCACCGCTAAACTAGGTGCCGTTTGGAGAATGTATATTGTATGCCTACATTAACTACTTTCAATGAGTCTCAACTCAAGATCATATCTGATTCTGAGGCCTGAGCCACTCATGCAAGGTCATGGCCTCCTCGTGGCCCATGGAGTCCCTGCTGATGCTGAATGTTTCACAGGTGGGATTAATCCTATTTTTGAGGTTGTACTGTTTGAATAATTTTATCTGATAAGTAAGAAGTAGTAACATTTGTCTCATTATCATGTAGAAAAAGTTTGATTAAAAAAAAAACATGAATGCCTCTCGGAACTTGTGCTTTTGAATTTTCAAATAAGACTTTCTAGGTAATAATAAGAGATAGGTTAATATGCTACTCCTTAGTCCTTACTTATATTATAATTGTCTCTCAGAGTTACTTACAAATTTATCTGACATTGCACTGTTGACTGTTGAGTGTTGAAGAAAGGTAGGTGTAAGGTAGGTACCTATGTACCTAGTCCTACTAGGTAGCTGCTTGAATCTTTGGTCAAGGCTACTATGCTGCTTAATACAATTGTGGTATGCGGCATATTCATTTTATCATAGCTTTGAGTCAAATAATCAACAAATGCCTATAGTGAGTCATGGGTTGAATGAAATAAGTTCAATGAAAATGTCGTGTGAGTCATGAGTTGATTTGAATCGATTCATCAAAATGTGTGAGTCATGAGTTGATTCGAATCATTCCGTTGGCTAGTTGCTCGAGTCATGAGTTGATTCGAATCATTTTATCGAGGAACTTGATGAGTCATGAGTTGATTCGAATCAATTAAATTTAACATCATGAGTCGTTTGATGAATCGATTCAAATTTCCAGACTCAAACAAAGAATCGACTATAAAAAATTGAGTCGTTTACAAGTCTGCCCTATACTATGTTGATTATGCATATTTTCAGGTAAAATTCTCACCAGGACACACCAGCCAACATCTGTGCACAATCTGGCTACAATTCTACCTATGGTTTGCCCTCTACGAATAAATACGTGCTAGATCGGAAAAATCCCCACTGTGCGACGTCGGGCCGACGTCGGCATGCCGATGCCGAGATGCCGACGTCACCCCGACGTCGGCATGTTTACTGGGTCTCTCTCTCTCTCTCTCTCTCTCTCTCTCTCTCTCTCTCTCTCTCTCTCTCTCTCTCTCTCTCTCTCTCTCTCTCTCTGTCTCTCTCTCTCTCTCTCTCTCTGTCTCTCTCTGTCTCTCTCTCTCTCGCTCTCTCTCTCTCTCTCTCTCTCTCTCTCTCTCTCTCTCTCTCTCTCTCTCTCTCTCTCTCTCTCTCTCTCTCTCTCTACCGCGAATTAGGACAGCGCACAGTGGGGATTTTTCCGATCTAGCACGTATTTATTCGTAGAGGGCAAACCATAGGTAGAATTGTAGCCAGATTGTGCACAGATGTTGGCTGGTGTGTCCTGGTGAGAATTTTACCTGTAAATGTGCATAATCAACATAGTATAGGGGGTTCAATTGGACCCCCCGCTCAGCCGTTTGGCCCCTGATCAAGCTAGAGCTTCGCGGAAAAGTCAAGCGTGCTGCCTATGACGAAATTAGGCCGAATATATCCAATTTCAAAGTCCAAGGTCATAAGCTGACTTTCCAAGTCAGTTTAATGACCCAACTAAAGCTGGGAAATCAAGACCTCTTGAAACTTCGCAAAGTTAGGGTGTTACGGGGTATTTTGGGGTGCTGATCACGAATTTCATGTTAGTTTTGATCACAGACGATGTTTTTATGCATTTAGGCCAGGTCGGGTCAGGTCAGGTTAGATCAATTAGTAGGCGTCTTGCCGGCCATCCATAGAAGTGTCACCTACTACTGATAGCTTCGTAACATGGAACGAAGGCACTAGAACTACTTCGTAAATATTCAAATGGCTGCTAAAATCGAAATCAGCACCAAAAACTACCCTAGAAACAAGTAAAACTTGAAAAAGTGAACCAAGGTCATCAAAAGGTCAATGACCTTGACTTGACCTTCACGTGACCTTGACACCCACCATTATGCATGGCACCAACATCATTTCACATATTTGAACGTTTAAAACCACAAAAAGACTGGAAACCGCGGATAATGTGAGCTGGCATACGCCGAATCGCGATTCCGGCCAAACATGGTCTCGAGAAATATGTCACAGGTCAAAGGTCAGTTGGGTCAGAGTCATGAAATTTTTAGGTTAGATGTAAAATTGATGATCTCGAGGGTACCGAAAGTTTCGGCGCGATCGGCCGCTTTTTGCGCGAGTAATTTGCGGAAAACCATGGGGTTTTATCCGACCCCTTCCCCCTCCCCCTCCCCACAAGTGCGATGGTTAATAAGGTTACGGTATGTATAATTTACGCTTGTCATCCTATTCCTAATGAATGTGTCTCAGAAAATATGCATCATATAAATCACGAAGTAAAATTATTCGCCTATGTCCGGAACATACCTATATCGTGCTGTTTGCCCTAGCGCTCCTCGAGTGGGGTGTTAAGATACTCTAATGTGAATATTCCGTGTTCAGGCAAGTTTCGGCAGCCAAACTAGGCGTTGTCTTGTGCAGAAGAAAGTGGCGAATTCGATAGGATATATTTCGGAGTGGAAAAGTGTGGAGAACATTGTTGATTTCCTACATTTATTTAGAATACCATTCCTTCAATATGGTGTCTGTAAGGGTTTTTTGTAAAGGGCATTTTTGTGATCTTAGGAAGGTTGTGGCATACTTTCTGTTTGCCATTCCATTCCTAATAAAGGTGCCTTTCAGACGATATGCAACTTTAAGACCTCGCAAGATTAAAACCAACAGGACAGGACAATGAAATTGAGCTATACTTTCGGGCCTTGCTGAGCCCATTGAGTAATCACACATGAGTGTGAACTTTGGGCGCATTTTTCCTAGTTTTGCTGTGGACATACAGATAAAACAATGCCATATATGAAAAATTCAGACATTTCCTAGCCCTACTGACACAAAAAATAAACAAAAATCCAAAAAATAATCCCAGAAACTACGCGTCACGCTCTGAAAGCGGCGATTCAACGAGCATCCGCTGGCCAATAGAGGACACAAGCCTGATATTGCGAGTCACTCATTTATTATACCCCATCTGTGCCATGACGTGCGGCCGTCTCTGTTTTATATGCTTTACTTGCTCCCCTTCATTGCACATGTTTTACTTCACGACGCGTCATTGTGAAAAGCCACACGGCCGCCGTGTCAAGTAGATCGATGATATAATACACATCTTATCTTATCTTAGGGCAAGGTCTGGGGACCTCAACCCCAACCGTTCGCTTCCCAGCATATTCCGCTCCTGTCTAAAGTGGGGGATCACGGCAGACGTGGGTCCGTTGGGATAGTGAAATGCGACTGGTGCCGCCTACCCATGCGCTGAAGATCAGCTTATTGTTTGTGCTCGTCATCACCATCGATTGCTGGTCGCCTGCGGCAGGCGGCCAGGGGAGATCAGCCGTCTTCTCTGTGCCACCGTCGGAGCGGCCGGCTGCCGCACATCGGATTGGGGCGGGTGCCGCCTCCGGCCGGCGCCGATCGATGCCGGCCGGATGGGTCCGCAGAGGGCGGGCGGTGCGCGGTGCGCGACCCACGGCTGGAGGCCCTGCCACTGGCTGCCACCAGCCGCACCCTGGCCTCACTAGCGTCTCATTAATCAGCCAATTGACGCCACAGCGTGGCACGCCTTGTTGCCGACGAAGTGCGGTAGTGGCGGCCGCTGAGCGGCGTGGGTTACTGACCGCCGCTGCGCGGAACGTCGTCGCCCTTGGCTGTGGTCCCCGTCGGCTGCAGTGGGCCGCCAGTGCAGTGGCCAGACGCCGGGCCGGCCGACCGTCGGCTGCCGGCCGCCATCCCCATCAGACTGTGGGCGCCGTCATGCCGATCGGACTGCTGTGAGCGCGGCCTGGCGGTGCTGTCGAAACTGTCCCGCCGGAGACTCCAGAACTGTCCCGTCGGAACTGTCCCGCCGGACACTCTGAAAAAAAACAGTGCCTGAGTACGAGTGTAGTGAGTGTGTCCAGGCCTTTCGGTGTGTGGTGAGCTTGTCCAGGCCTGTGGCGAGTGAAGTGAGCTTGTCCAGGCCTGTGACGAGTGAAGTGAGCTTGTCCAGGCCTGTGGCGAGTGAAGTGAGCTTGTCCAGGCCGTTTGGAGTGTGGTGAGCTTGTCCAGGCCTGTGGCGAGTGAAGTGAGCTTGTCCAGGCCTGTGACGAGTGAAGCGAGCTTGTCCAGGCCGTTCGGAGTGTGGTGAGCTTGTCCAGGCCTGTGGCGAGTGAAGTGAGCTTGTCCAGGCCGTTCGGAGTGTGGTGAGCTTGTCCAGGCCTGTGACGAGTGAAGTGAGCTTGTCCAGGCCTGTGACGAGTGAAGCGAGCTTGTCCAGGCCGTTCGGAGTGTGGTGAGCTTGTCCAGGCCGTTCGGAGTGTGGTGAGCTTGTCCAGGCCTGTGGCGAGTGAAGCGAGCTTGTCCAGGCCGTTCGGAGTGTGGTGAGCTTGTCCAGGCCTGTGGCGAGTGAAGCGAGCTTGTCCAGGCCTGTGGCGAGTGAAGCGAGCTTGTCCAGGCCGTTCGGAGTGTGGTGAGCTTGTCCAGGCCTGTGGCGAGTGAAGCGAGCTTGTCCAGCCACGGCGCGGCGCTGATGAGCTCCCCGGCGTCCACAATGGCGTGCACTGTGACGGCGCTACTCGACAATCCCGTGTCACGCTTCCACCAGGTGGTGCACGCTACCGACAAGGCCATGGAAACGATACGAGAGGATACAGAGCATGAATGGGACCCAGGTATCTATGTACATAGAACCCGCTATCTGCACGGCCGCAATTTTTCACAGCCTTGCCGCCCAACACATCCCGCACCCCACTGGGGTCTGCGGGGGCATTCCACGTCAAATCGCACAAAAATTGGCTGCTTTGCACCTTACCATAAAAAACACACAAAATTATATGATATTGTATTACTAATATCATCAACTGATATGCGTTAAAGACACATCTTAAACCTAAATACACCTAAAACACACATAAAACCATCCACATAAACATGGGCGTAGGAATGGCTAGAACATTGTGGGTGCATGGGTGCAGAAATCCAGCCATGGCCCGGTGAAGCGGGGGGGGGGGGTATGGAGCGGCACCCGAGCGAAGGCTCATTGCGAGCTTTGAGGGTGTACCATGTCGAAAAGGTACCGATAAGTGCATTTGGAGGCATTGATGTCAATAATGACTACCGCAAAAAGTAAAAGCGGCTAACTTAGCCATTTTCGTAGATGTCGGGGGCCTTTTGACAGTGGGTCATCTGTATGTGTTCACTGTTCAATCACATGTGCTCCATTTCTTCTTTTTTATTAAAGCACAAATGTAAGTTTTGAAGACCATCACAGTAGAAAATGCTTCCAAAGATGGATAGTGGGAAAAATATCCTGAATGTAGGTATCGTGCTGCATGGGAATTAGTTTTGCTGAAAAAGGGGTTTTTTGTTCCAGATTATTGTGGGCGCAGAATACATTGTCTGCACCCACTGGGGAATTATTGTGGGTGCAGCTGCACCCACTGCACCCATGGTTCCTAAGCTTATGCACATAAACACGGTTCTCCTCCCCACGCACTACCTACGTAAGAACGCAGCCAGTACCCATGCAACCTACTCACTGCACGCTGCACAATACATTCTCAACCAGCGGGGTATTTAGAAAATCGCGAAGGGGGGGGGCAAGGGTTTGGAGGGCGCCACCTCACCCCAGGAGGGCGCCATACGGTCGCGAGATAAAAATCCGCTCAGCGGGGGGGGGGGGGGCGGGGGGGGGGTGGAGGCGTTTTGTTACCACGCCACCAGTTTTTTTTTTTTGCGTGACTTGTATATAGGTTATCTGCATTAATTTGACATCGTGTGTATTTTGATTTTACTCCAGGCCAAAAAAGGTCAAGTCACCCGCTCAGCTTAACCCTCGCCCGCACATGCCATTTTCCCATCCTAGAACGCACATGGGGGGTGGTTGCCACCCCCCCGCGCCATTTCGTTCCTGTTGGAGATAGAGCTTAGCGGTAAAGACCAAAAAGATTCTTTAGGAAGAGACGAATCCAATGATACCCAGTTTTACCTTCTCAGGTCAGTCATTGACCTTCCAGGTCAGGTCAAACTAAAAAAATGTTGCTGTTTTGGGTCACCGTTGGATATAAAGTGCGCTGCTTATCATATACCGATGACGATGCCGTTTTCTGGTGCCAAGCCAGCTAGAACCTCTTTGTCACACTACCCGACCAGGTTTTTGCTGCGGAGGTCATTTCAGGTCAAGTTAGGTCAAGGTCATTTATATGTGTTTGTATGTCTGTGTGTGTCTGTATGTATGCTGATGTGTGCACCGATTGTTCATGTGTCCATATTACATGAAATAATGATCTGAGAAGCTTTTACCAAAAACGCAGTCAAAAAACTTCACAAAAAGTGAATTCCGCTTGCCTAAAACGCAATTATCTTAGATGACCTAGGTTGACCTTGACCTTGACCTTGACATCTGTACATCGTCGAACAACATGTTCCATGATAGGTGGGAGGTAAGACTGGCAAAAAAGGCCGAAATCAAGGTGTCAAAAGCTCACAAGGCCCATAGCCAACGCAAGATGTTGAGAATTGGCCATTCGGGTCATGACATGACCTGAAAAACAAGGTCATATCTCCGAAACCAAAAATCACAGAAACTTGAAATTTTTAGTGGACATCAAGAAAAGATAGAGGAGCAGCTACACGAAAAATCAGCCTTCTACCTTCAAAAATGTTGAGTGCAGAGCAGAAAGACTACCTGGGGGGGGGGGTGGCAACCACCCCCCCCCCATGTGCGGGCGAGGGGTGACAATGCTTAAAACTTTTTTTAAGTTAGATCACTTGACATGACGTGATGACCTTGCTTTTAGCGACTTTTACCGGCGTTCTCCAACACGCAGTTCTTCACTCTTCACAATTTTGTATTTACTGGTTTTCTGAAACGGCGCGTCGGATACGGTTGCATGACAAAACGAAAACAAAAACAAGACACAGAGAATCATGAAACGTAAGCATCTTAACCAAAAGCTCTCATTAGAACATTGACAACACACATCCGAAACACTTACGGATTATTTGGCCATCCGGTAAAAACGCCGACAAGTCACACACACACACACACACAAAACGTTTATTAAGGAACAAAAGATACACGAGAAATAAAGCATGATCAATGAAACATATGGCACAATGTATGTAGCAACATAAAAGTGATAGCAGAGTGGTGCAAAAGCGCAATCGCTTAACTCGAGGCACCACTCTGGAAAAAAAATAAAACATGTGAAACAACCGCCGCCGCCGCTGACCATTCGCTCATGAGCGGTAAATTTTGGTGTTCCATCAGCCGCTCAGCTCTCGGGATTGCAAATTTTGAAAACTTTGAATGAATTTATTTGTTACTACGAAAATCTATTTGTTTTTGTCAAAAACTTTTGAAAGGCGTAAGCCATTTCTCGACTGCCCTCGCCACTCAAGCGATCTCCGTGAATAAGAATGTTCAATTTTTGGTCGGGTGAGTAATTTGCAAAATTTTCTCCCAGTATACGAGAAGCGTTATCAAATAGTGTTTTCCTTTGGGCATCATAATTTCGACAGAATATTACGTAGTGGCGGACATCTTCCTTGAAGTGGCCGCAAGAACATTCAGGCGAATCTGCTTTGTTGATTTGAAAACGATGCGAATTTAGACAAGACATTTCAGTTCTTAGTCGGGTATGTAGAATATTTCCAGTTTTTGAGCCAATTTTGTAGTAGTCTGGGGGTTTGGGCATCCCTAGTCGCTGGTTAATTTCTTTTTTGAAGGATGTATGGGGCAAGGATCTTAATGATTCTGGGAGGTGGTTCCATAGTTTGGCAGTTGATAGGAAAAACGATGACTGATAGGATGTGGTGCGATGTGGCTGGAGTGTATGGTTCCTGTGATTTCGCAGGGTCCTTCCTGTTCTTTGTGAGCGGGTGTCCGGTATGATTGATTTGATGTAGTTGGGAGTTTTTTGCATGTGGCTATTGAGTGTATGATATAGTGTTATTTTGTGCATCTCTCTTCTTGTTTTTAACTTATTCCATCCTAGGTCTTTTAACAATTTGTCAGTTGATGTTCTAAATAAAGTGCCAGTCACAAGCCGAGCCGCTCTGTTTTGTAAAACTTCAAGTCTCTGTGTGTCCTGGAGCGTAATATGTCCGTCATAAACTGTGTCGTAAAAGTCAAAATGTGGTCTCGTGTATGTTTTGTAAATCTGATCTAAAATTTCTCGGGGGATGTATGGAGCAATGGAGTACAATGGGCTCATGGTTCTGTTTACCTTTTTGCAAATTTCGTTAATGTGCTGATGAAACCGCAAGTCCTTTGAAAATGTCATTCCCAGATGAGCGTGGTTTTCGTGAATGGGTATTATGTCGTCCCCAAATGTAAGAGCAGGTGGTGTGTTTTGTGGGCTGCGTGAAAATGTCTGTTGTATTGTTTTGCTTACGTTAAAAGTAATCGCCCATTCTTTACCGTATTTTTGTATTTCATTGAGATCATTTTGTAATGACGTCTGTGTTGTGTTCAAATTTTGTTTTGTATGGGATGCATAAAGCGATACGTCGTCTGCGAAAAATAAAATGTCGTTTTGTGTTCTAGTAGAGAGGTTATCGAGGTAAATGAGGGCTAGAAGAGGACCCAAAACCGAACCCTGTGGGCATCCGGCGTTGATAATTTCTGTTTTTGAAAAGGTATCGCCGATCTGAACTCGCTGTCGTCTATCAGACAAGTAAGATTTAAGCCAGTCGTAAAGTGAGTCAGTGATGCCAAATTCATGTCTACATTTGTACAAAAGTCCCTCGTGCCAAATTTTGTCAAAGTATTTTGAAATGTCCAGGTAAATAGCAGTAAAATCGCTTTCTGAGTCCAATGCTTTGTATAAATTATGTGTCAGGTATAATAATTGTTGTTCTGCGCTATGGCCTCGCCGATACCCACTCTGTTTATCTGTCAAGAGGTTATGGTGGGAAAGATGTGCATATATGTGTTTGTGGACTATTTTTTCAAAAACTTTGGACAACGAAGAAAGAAGACTTATGGGGCGGTAGTTTGTGGGCTCAGATGGGGAGCCTTTGTTTTTAAATATTGGTTTGATGTTGGCCTCTTTAAATTTGGAAGGGTAAATGCCTAGCGCTAGTGATTTGTTGAATAGTTTCGACAAAGGGGATGCAATTAAGATGGCAGTTAATTTTAAAAGTTCTCAACTTCGCCCTTCGTTAGGCGGCACGGGCGGACATCGATATCAGCGCCTCTATCGGTCACTCGGAAAAGCTGGGCTGTAGGCGACGAAATACCGGCTGAGTTGTCACACGTTGAATAGGTTTATAGCCATCCGTCTTGTGAAAAAGTTGAACTTTTGCCTTTAATATTTCTACAGGCAATTTTAGAAGTGTCTTCACATGGATTACAAAACCGTTTAGATTATTGTATTCACTTCAAGCCTTTCCTATTGTTCTTGATGATGCGGGAACTATTTATAATTAGTGTTTCTAGCTTAGTAAAAGAACATACTGTGCAAACGATGAAAAAAGCATAAATGGAAGATTTTAAATGCAATTTTCTCTAACAATTAATGGTAAATTCTCTACATATCAAAGAAAAGGTGCATGCTGGCTGATAATTTAAAGTTCTCGGGGCCAGTTGTTTTCTTCTTTTCTTACGTCGCCCCAATGGCCGCGAATACACTTGTGATAACGCCTATCGTCTTACTTCAATTATACC